CCTTCACTGCCTCCCTGAGTTTGCTCAGTTTCATGCTCATTGCTTCAGTGGTGCTATCTAACCATCTCATCCTCATTACTTGCTAGCAAACAAGCTAGGTGAGCAGTCATAGGACTGAGTCATGTAAGCCTCAAAGGCAAATTACCTTAGGGGAAAATTTCCTCTTGAGCGCACTGACCATTTTTGTGCGTATGCAAAGGGGTCTGCTAATGCCTGGATCACATCTCGCTTCACAGCAATCTGTTCTCTTCCCTTAATTCCAGAAACAGGAAAGCTTTTGTATTCTACCAGTAAGTTAATGGAGCCACAGATGGATTGGAGGCCCACATTCTGACCTTCCTGGTTGCCCTAAGAAAGGTCCAGATGGCAAGAGAGCAACCTTTTGACCAGAAACAGCACAGACTAATAGGAGGAAACAGGCAAGGTAAGGAGAGATTCTGCTCTTACTTTTCAAGTATTCCTCACGTTCACCGCTAAGTGTGCTCCAGCCTTGGATATACTTTCTTCAGAAGCACCTTCCTGTTGGATGTACTTGATGTCATAAGTCTTCTGCACAAACCTGCAATTTCTCTGCCAACACAGCAGTTCCGGTGGTCTCTGAGGCAGTCATTCCCCCTGCAATTACAGAGACCGTTTTTTGGCTGGAATTTTATTACAACAGAGACCTCTGGAGGTGATGGAACAGGTAGCAGTAAAAAGGGCTACGTACGTATGTATGTATTTCAGTTTATATGGCTGCCCGTCTCAGCAAGGTAAAAATGGGCAGCAAACACAGTTAAAACATCAGTATAAGAAAAAAGTAGGGATGTAAACATCACATAAACAGGAAAGCAAAAAGAAAAAAAACCAAAACAAAGAAAAAAAACCATCCGTAATAAATCAGTACTACCTCACAGGCTCAGCTAAACGGATGTGCAACAGCGCATTGCCCAGGATGAGTCTGTCCTGTTCATAGGTGGAAGGTAGTTCTCTCCTCAGAGCCTTGGGAGCATAAACAGCTGCAGTTGCCATTCCAATGGGAAAAGGACACCCACGTGGTGGCATCACAGCACAATCCACACCCTTATGAAACTGCATCCTGATGTCTGATGCAAACGCGTGAACTGCACTGTGACATCATGAAGCACACTTTCCCACTCCACCCCCTGCAGATCTTGATGAGAGGAGCGTGCACTGTAGACTCCATTACTCCAGCTTAAAAGCCTCAATTCTCAACAGCAGTTTTCACAGACATTTGTGCCAGTCACAATCTGGAATTCAGCTTAGTACCCTAACCCTAATACCATCTGCACTGGCCTTCAAGACCTTTCATCAGAAGTTGAGTAAAAACACCTACAGAACAGAACTAGAAATACCCAACCACCATAGCAGTTCTAATTATAAAGGTCATGATCCCCTTTCCCACTTAAGCTTTGGTTAAAGAGTATGACCAGATCAGGGCCTCATCCAGTACAGCACTCTGCCACTGTGGCTACAGAACATTGCTTACCTGGTCCCCTGGTTCTCACTCTTCTTCTAAAGCCAAGTTACCGGCCATGCCTAATCTTCTGACAGAGAATTAATATTCCTGTTGTTTGTCTCAAATCTCCCACTGGAGAAGGATTTATCTGGAACAGCAAAGGGATGCATTGCTGAAGACTATCAAGCATCTAGTGGATCAGGATGGCACTTTTCCCATTTCCAGCAGTGAGAACCAAAAGCATGAACCACCATCTGTTGCAGGGGAGAAAACTTCCACATGTCAGAAACAAACCTGTTTAATAACGGTAAAACAAGAAGACACATTTGGGTAGCTGACTCTTCCAGTTCTACACTCAGTGCTCTTCATGGCATGCTGACACTTTAGTACGTAAATAAGCCATTTATTTCATCAAATAAATAGACTGCACTTCAGAAAGATGAAGAGAGGAGCAATCACAAATGCAAGACACTGACAATTCACACATTTCTTTACTCCTTTTTCCCACAAACAAAAGATACAGAATTTGTACCCACTCCTACTTCAAATCCAGTGTATTTTCTTCCCACATTTCCCCGTATAACAAAGTTTTAGCCTTCCTTTTCTCAAACTCTGTCATTGATGGTTGGAGCTACTTCAACTTGCTGGTCTCTTTTGATAAGTTGATGGCAAATGCCACCTTCTTCAGGCAGCTGTACTAGGCAGGCAAGGAGAATGCCTGAGAAGCTCCAACTTCCACTACATGTTTGAAACTCAGGAGTTGGCCTTGTTATCCACTGAATATGTAACAAATATGGTACGGGACACCAAAGAAGTGTCTCCCAATTCATCCCCATCCATCCTTAGAAATGCTGCATGCCACTCTTTGCATTATACAACTTCAGTTGCCAAACACAGCGAGCCACTATGTTTAACGCAAAGGAATTGAGATGAGAAGCAAAATGCAGGGCCTAACATAGCAATTTCCAGCTTGGAAACTCAAGCTGTCAACTGCAAACTGATACCACCTTTTCTGTCTCCCTCTTGCAAGTATGTTTTATTCCATTTCTGAGGAGCTTAGAAATATTTGAGGAATTACATGAAGCATCAAATTAGCAGCAAAGTTTAAAGCAAAGCTCCCACTTCTCCAAGGCAGTTTTGGAGCCTACTTCATAGCAGACCTTTACAGATACAGACTGCCTTCACTTCCATGGGTTGTGGCACTTATGTCATGAGAATTTGATAGTACAGAAGGCCTTGCCAATCTTCTTGCAACAAGCTGGCTATTTCTCTGGAAATCAAGTTGTGGAGATAGTCCAGCACCACAGAAACCCTTTCTGATTGCAGAAGAGAGCAGAAGCAATGATACTGAATTCCTCAATGGGCAGCAACATTTTGTTGACATTTACAATAAAATCGGTGTAAATACAAGCACACCAGCAGAAAGGCAAAACATTCAGATCAAAATGCAGGAATCAGTACACCAAGCTGAACACTCCAATTTCTGCAAGAAAAATACTGGCTCTGTCCTGAGGACCCAACTGCCCATGATCTTCTCATTTAAATCTGAATTCTTGATTGTAAGGCTGAAATCTGCAGTATCAGTGTAATGGAGGCTGAAGGCTCATCTGATCTCCAGCTGTTAACCCCCTTTGGCTAATTATCATTCTTCAGGTTTCCTGACCAGCCCAAGAAGCTGTGATCTGTAACTTCCCGGTATGGCAGCTCATTCATCTTGCTGAAGATGCCACTCTCAACATTCCCCAGCCTGTTTTATTTGTTTAAAGACAAGCGAACAAGACTGTCTATCCAAAGTATTGTCGAAGACTTTCACGGCCGGCATACGATGGCTGGTGTGGGTCTTCCGGGCTGTGTGCCCGTGTTCTGGAAGTTTTGTTTCCTAACGTTTCGCCATGAGAAGCCCCCTGAGCCCAGTCATAGCAAATTTCTACATAGAACATTTCGAAAAACGGGCTTTAGAAACCGCACCCATTACCCCAACAATCTGGTTCCGATTTGTGGATGACACCTTCGCAATTTGGAGTCACGATGAAGAAGACCTAGAGAAGTTCCTGAACCACCTAAACAGCGTCCACCCCAATATACAAT